CGGGGTCATGTCAATACATGAAGGAGCTGATGTCACAAAATATTTTGTCAGCAGTGGTTTTGCATTCATCCACGCGAACTCTATTGCAGACGTAATTGCTGTAGAGGCTGTCCCTCTTGATCGTGTCGATGCAAGTCTTGTCCAGAAGGGGCTTGCAGAGTTCACCCAGAAGCTCAACTCAGCGTCGACTGACTTGGAGAAAGCTGAAGCCCAGATTGGAGTTGATGTGCATAGTGCGCTAAACTCTGCTCTTACCGGCTAGTTTTACTAGTCTTTGTGATGTTGATATAGTCCGTTTGTACCCTCTGTCACATCTTTAAGGTGCTGCAATTCGACACTGATCGGTCTCTTGGAGCCAATATTCTCCAAACTGTCGTCTTTGTTTCTCTTGTAGTTCGGTGTGGAATTGGTGATAAAATAATACTGGAATTTGATATTCTTGTTTCATACAAGAAAAAAAAAAAAGAAGCTAATATTTTTTGGTCAGCATGTAGAATGCAGTTATATAATTCTACAAGTAATTGTAGAAATAATTCCAGTCTCCTGGACTCAATTGCAACGTGGCATCCAATCCCAATATCCCATAATTCCAATGGATTTGTAAGCAATTATGGGCAGTGTGTAAAGGGTTACTTATTCTGTTTTTTAAGAATGAAGAAAGCAAGAAAATGAAAGGACTTTTCTGGCCATGGACAAATTTGTATAGGGCATCCTTATACTTATTTTTACTTTTTACACAATTTGAATTTTCAACAGTTGGATCAAATAACTACTCTGATAACTCAGACAATTGGCAAAGAATTGAAAGACTGACCGTTAAACGCCTATAAATAGGTCTTTCGACTCCTCACAATGGGTTAAACATTTTGGTGTGTGCTATCCACACATTCATTTTTACTTGTTACACATCTTTTTAATTTCTATCCATTGATCTTCTTCACTTCATCCAATTCAACGGTCGAAAATTAAAAGGATGTGTGAGAAGTAAAAAGGGATGTATGGATATCACACCCCAACATTTTTTTACCTCACTCAGAGTGCTTCGTTTTGCCCTCTTCCTCACATCCTGAATTGATCGTCGGAACACTTGGACTGCTCATGCCGTCAAGGGCAATTTCGGTATTTAGAGCTCATAATTTCTTGTTTTGAAAAAAATGAAAGTAGAATATTTAATACATTTTTAGTTGTTAATTCCTGCCTCTCTCGAATCAGAAAATTTTTAATTTTAAGAATCGCCAATTTTCACTCTCGTATTCGTGCTTTATAGCTTCACACACATTAACGAGCACCACAAGGCACTTTACTATTTTGACTTAAGAAAAACTTTTATTTTTACCGATAGCAAATCCAAAAGATGAACTTTGTTATGTGCTTTTATTTTTCTGCATTTTAAGACCACATCTCCAAGTTTCAAGTTCATTGTATTTCTCTTGTTTTAAATTTCTTTTTAGTTCTGACACTTAGTATTGTATTCCTCTTTACTTATAAGTGAGAAATCTTATATTTATTCTCATCCAAAAATAAATTTAAACTACATTATTGCAAGTTTATTGTGAGGCTTAACACATTCTCCCACCTTCTCAGTATAAATAATATCGTTTGTTGAAAAAAAAAATCTTTTTAGTTCTAACCAAGTGAAGACAAATTAAAGAGAGATTTATCAAAGTTAGTCACTGTCGATGCATTATTTGTATTATATTTTTAATAATTTTTTTCCGTTAGTGCTACACGTTTCACATTTTTTTAATAGAAGAGAATACACATTATTGAATGCACACATAAGCATTGGAATAAAAAAATAAAAAGTTTATATAACGCATTATTTGTATCGTATTATTTTTCTAATTATTTTGTCAGTGCTCCTCGATATGGTTGATTATTCTTTGTCTAAAATCTCACAATGAAACGTGTGTAGTTTTAATATTATTAACAAATGTTGAACCAACAAATAAATAAAATTAACACTAAAATCATAACTCACAGATTCTTCCCAAGAAAGCAGAAACACAACAAAACTTTTGAACACATCAAGGAACTTTCTTGGGTGCTTTAGTATTTGATACTCCGTAACACTTACGAATTTTTTATATGTCGAACACTGTAAATGCATGCACTGCACGCAGCATAGAGTGCACATTTTGCAACCCACATTTACTTAATCACTCGACGCAAATAGCATTTTTTCATCGATTAAAGAAGCAGCCAATGACAATATTCAGTCCGACAGCTCATTCAGCAAGCCACATGGTATGGTCCACGTGGAGAGAAACCAAATGGAAATTTACAGACCCACCAAATAATTGGAACCCCTTCGAGCGTGGGGCGTTCTTCACCGTCCATACTCCACCTCGAAATCGTGGCCGTTCCAAGAACTTGGTGCATTGCAAACTTTATGTCTTTTCTCGCAGCCACTTGCCACGTAGCAAGTGTGATAATCTATGGTGCTGCGCTGGTAGTTCTTTTAGGGCACACGTGTAACGGACGCAAAAGGAAGGAGCTGCCCGTGGGGCACGGCCCGAAGTCGTGGGCCCGGGGAGACAAGGACCTTGGAAGTAGAGCCAGCATGGTCCTGAGTCAGGTGGGTCCCCCTTAGATGGTTTTGGTGGGTGTGGGTCCCCTCCGAGTCACCTCCACGGTTGGGTCTTTAATTCCGCTGTTGTTTTCTTATGGGCTTTTGGGGCCCAGTGTTTGCTCAAAGTCCGGATTCTAGAGAGATTTTATGTTTGTTTACTTATATGCCCTTGTGTGTTGATGAGATCTACGAAGTTACACTCTAGGCTCGAAAGACGTTTCTCTAGCATGCATTATGTCGGTGGTGCTGTTGTAATTAAGAAAAGAAAACTAGGACAATTGGAAAGAGGGTTATACTTTTGGATTCTTTTGACATTGTCCCAAAGCTTCTGCAAATCCTTCCATAACCCACAAATCTCTCTTCATTTTTCTGTTCTTGGAGTATTTACTTGCAATTAGAACTTACCTAAGAAGTTATATAACTAATGAGTTATTAAAAATTTTCATGAAACGCAAAAGATAATATAAGGTTGTTGTACGTATAAAAAAAAAAAGTAAATTGCCGATTATTTTCTAAAGAATTGTTATTTTTTTAACAACCGTTATTATCTATACTTAGGCAGAGATGTGAGGTTTAGTTTCACAATGAACTAATAATAATGTGATTCAACTTTATTTTTGACGAGATTCGAACCTAAGACATTTTATTTACAAATGAAGAGAAACATCATTAAATTGTAGTACTACGTGACGAATTATTACTTTTTGAATATAAGCCCTACTCTTATTGTAAACTACACTAAGTATGGAGAGATGGTTAAATTTATTAAGGAGAAGGGAAAAGTTCGAAACTAATATAATAATTAAGGGGAGGGAGGAGTTTTAAACCTGCGATGCTTGGGTTGAAACCCAACAGTGTGTCCATTAGGATACTACACTAAGAGATGAGAGTGTTTGAACTCATGATGCATTAGGTTAAAAATAAATGAATAACTACTAGAGCAATCCACCACTTTCATTTCTTGAATTATTAATCAAGTGAAAATTAATGCCATTAATTATTTTTTTAGACAAAATAAGTCCTTAAAGCTCTTAAAACCTGTTAATTTCCCGTGTAATGCTATTTTTTAAACTATTTCATCAAATCATGCGTAAACAATAAACCAGGTGGTTTGCATTTGCATTCTTTATAGCAATGAAATTATGTTTGATTAGACCTGCACATTACACACCTGATCAAAGAATTAGATTGATGTCCAGTAATTTGAAACATAAAACTTAATACGTCTCAAATATAAGTAAAAGAATACCATAGAATGGTAGTATTAGTTGGTGTGTACTAAGCTTTATGAGCACTATATACCAAACAACACTACCAAAACATTTGAGAAAAAAAAAAAAAAAAAACTTTTAAGACAATTGAACGGTTACAACCCATCTATCTTGTATGAGAATCGGAGAGTTTACTCATTAATTTGACACCAAAACTAAAGCCACTATCTCTAACTCTTATTTGAGCTACTCAACGAATGTAGAATATGAAGATAGAGAACCTTAAATTAAACTTGTAAATGATGTTTTATCGCAGTGGCGGAAAACAATGACTATGAATCTTGATACATGTTCAAAGTCCACCGATTCTCCTCTCTTCCAACAACTAATATTTTAAACCACCAACACTCATTTATAAAAAAATTTAAAAAAAAAAAGACTTCCAAATAGCATCACTAATAGATTTTTCTTGGGAGCTAGATATCATATCATACTCTAAGCTCACATGCACTATTAATAGTTAATTCTAAAGGATACCTAGAAACAAAGAAAGAAAAGATTCCCGCATACTTCCCAAATTGTGTCCCTTAATACTCTAAAAAGGAACACATAAGTACAATAACCATTAGTAAAATAGTAATTGGTATTAATCTTAGCAAACACAAATGGAAGTGGCACTAATACACTAATTAACCTCCCTCGTCACAATGGTCTAGGGGAAGAGGACCTCCAATTAAAAGGAATACTATTTTTTATGGATGTACTAAAAATACCCAACACAAAAGGGACCAAATGCAAAAAAGGAAAAAACTAATGTAGCAAAAAATAAATAAAAGAAGAAGTGGTTCTAGAAACAGATGCTGATGCATGCACTGCACTGCAGCCAATAGATTGAGAGCACCATGGAATCTCGATGGGTCCAATCTCGAAAACCACCACCCACTGTTTTCTCCATAACCTCCTTCATGCAGAAAGCAAAATTCCCGTGCTTCTGAGGTCACAATACTCTCATCCTCCCAGATAATCACAACCCTTGAATTTGCATAACAGTCTGGAAGTTGACTCAACCGAAGAACTTGATTGGTTTACCACATTTCTCCCATATAGACTCACAAAGCAGCTTATCCCCCCAAGTCCACCGAACAAGTCTTTATATGTGGCAGGACTTTCCCATCTAATTCCTCCCCCCACTCATTCACTCGCTTGTTCCTGGCACCAAGTTTGCAGCAAGCTCCGAATTTGTAGCAAATTAGCAACCGGTCCATCGATCTTTTCTTCTTCCTCTTCGGCTCCTCTGGTTTTATTTTTTTAAGCATGAGGACCGGCATGTTCTCCTACACCACTTACGAAGATCAAACAAACGAGCCTCACTTCCTTGATGCTTGTCATCTTTGTAGAAAACCACTCGGAAACAACTCGGACATCTTCATGTACAGGTAATTTTATGTTCCAGTTTATCAGAGCAGCGTGCCGCCGCACTGCGGTATTTGCTAGATTAGATTAGGGTAGTTTAGAATATCGTTTTTATCGATTTTTGTTTATGTGAAATTTGGTTTTCCATGTCCTGATGGGGATTGGGAATTATTTTTTTCAGGGGTAACACACCGTTTTGCAGTAAAGATTGTAGGCAAGAACAGATAAAGTTTGACGAGAACAAAGAGAAGAGCTGGAAGCTTTCTTCCAGCAGAAGAAAGTCAGATCCCAACAAGAACTCCACCCCTAACAAAACTGTACGGACAGGGTCTGTTACTGTAGCCTGATTGATCTGGGACCGAGAGATTATTGGTGGAGTTTGTTTTTAAGATTTCAGATCATTCCACGTGGCAAGATCATGGTGGAGGTGATCAAGGTTGACTGGGTGTTGTGATTTGTAAAGGTGAGGTTGTGGGTGAGAGGGGCTTGAAGGAAAACGAAGTAAATAGGAAATTGTGGCCAATTGGAAAAGATAAAATTATGGAGGAGAAATCAAGAAAAACCCACCAAGAGAATTTTGTTTTTTTTTTTTTTTGGTTGAGATGTTACAAGGCAAAGAGCATCCTTTGAAATGTAAGGGATGGTTAATTTGTAAAATTTTGTTAGTGATCGATCATCTTTGTTTATTTCTCAAAGGATGTTGGTTGAGAAATTGATGAAAAGTCCATTCAAACAGATTGTTGTATAATTTTGTTTTGTGTTTTTTTTTTAATTTTTTTTTTAAACAAACGAGATTCTGCGCTAGCTTAAACAACAAAGAAAAAAGAAGAAGAGTTCAACCACAAAACGCAGCGGAATGAAAAAAAAAAATTAAAAAAAAAAAAAACACTCTTTTAACTATCAGGTTCACCTCTTGTTTTTTGTCTTTTAATTTTGATGTAAAATTTCTCAAATAATGTGACTTTCCATGCCAAAAGAGAAAAGGAAATGTAGAAAGAACAAAAGAATAGGCCTTTACAGCTTTCATCTTTGCCAAAAGCATGATGGATGTCATGATCGACCATTACAAAAATATCTCAACTTTTTCTTCTTCTTTGTTTTAATAACAATCGATTGGGAATTTTGCACATACACCGCTTGGACAATTAGGGTTTCTGCAAATATCCCCTAAAATATCTTCTTTTGACAACTAACCATGATTCTACTTTTAATGCGAATTTAGAGATTTCATGAAGGAAATTTTAAATGTTTCTGAAATACGGTTCGGTGGATAAAGTGGTATATTACAATTGGTTAAAAATTTTACCTTCAAGTTTTTAACCGTGTGTTTGACACGTTTAAAAATCTATTTGTTTTCATGAGAAATTCAATTAAAAACCCTCGCCTGTTGCATGATAGGAGATTTTTTTTTCCTTTATTAACACGACTCGGGGTAAGATATTTACTTTTTACTGGAAAGTAGCAATTCCATTCAAAACAGCCAAAAGGCTAACCGCACAAGTACAAAATGACTAATGCTAGAGACTAAACATTATAAATTATACGACATGAAAGTTGATGATTAGATTGTTACTTAAATGTTGATTAACATGCTTATTTTTTATTGGTAACACATCATTTAGTTTGTAAATTTAATCAACAAATTTAGTATACCTAACATTACTTATACATAAAAGTCGACCAAAATGAACAAAACTCGAAGACTGATCAAACAAGGAGCAGTTCCAACATTACCAAGAGAGAATGAAGATTTAAGGAAATTTGTGGACGTCGAATCAAAAGATCCCAGACACAAGTTCGGAAAATTTTTAGGTGTACCGGGTACACCAAATTTTTTTGGTGTACCCTCACTCATTAGAATTTTTTTGGTGTACAAAAAGTGAGGGTGCACCAAATTTTTTTGGTGCACCCTCACCATTATGAGTGAGGGTACACCAAATTTTTTTGGTGTGCCGGGTACACCGAAAAATCCCTCCACAAGTTCCTCCTAGCAAGCGCCACAACACAGGGGGCAAGATTATATTGGCTACTTCTCATCGGCACACATATTTGCATTGAAGTTGTTTCTACATGCAAATTTCACGTCTGAGGGTGTCAATAAGTCTTGAAATGACGAAAAGTATCATTCAAAAAGGCTCGTGTGCGAGGTATGTGATGTTTGTACAAAAATTTCTTTCTGAATTTTATGGAGGAGGTATATTCATACTAAAGCAGCGTATTGATCGTATTACTTACGAAAATTAATAAAGATGATACACACTGAAAATAGAATTTGAGTGTTTAATTTGTAAAAATAAAATAAAATGGGTGGTATTCTTATACACTGTAGATAAGAGATTTTTATCACAAATAATATATGAATTGATCTAATTCATCATTTTAGTTATTTAATTTGCAAATCAATCTATCTCGTCTCTGAATTTTATCTCTGCACGTTAATGCAATTCTTACCATCAAAATTCGTTAAATTTGCTATTAGTTTGATAACATAACACACATGGAGCCTATAGCTACATAGCGAATAACTTGGTGTGAAGTGAAAAAAAAAAATTTCACTTTTTTTTAAATTTAGAAAAAAAAAACAAATGAAATATTTCAAAAACTAAATAAATTATAAAAAAAAGCCCAGATTGCAGCCTCCCCCATCGCCATCCACGTCTCTCTCTCCCTCTCCCCTAGACCACCATCTGCCACAACCACCCACCAAAACAATATCATAACATCAAAAAACTTGAAAAAAAAGAAAGGATTTCAATTGCCGGGTCCATAGCAACCTAGTTGCAGAGAATCAATCCCGATCGCCGGTCCTTCACTTCTCCCTGTGATTGTACGAACCAAAAGTGAACCGCAGATAAAATGAATTGCAGAGAATCGAAATTTTTTTTGAGATGCAGCTGGGGTTTGGGTGGATATGGCGTGGAAGATGCGGATGGGCTTTTTTATTGTCTTTGTTTATTTATTTGTCTTCTAATTGGTTTTGGAATTAAAAAAAAAATTACTTTTTCTTGTATCGTGCACGTTATGTTAACTTATTGGTTATACAAGCTCTGTGTTTCGTGTCATCAAATTCACAGGAAAAAAAAAAAAAATTTACCAAAAAAATATTCACAGAAAATTTTAAGGATTTTGACGGTAAAGACCATATTGATATGCAGTGATAAAATTCAGGGTCTAATTAGATTGATTGATTTGCTAATCAAGAAATTAAAATGATTAGTTAAGTCAATTTCAAAGACGATTTATAATAAAAACCCTATAGATAAGTTTGCAATTTCTCTAATTAATATTAGCACAAGTGTTCGTTGGTTTCTTTTCCTTTTTTTTCTTTACGAAGAGAAATTATACGTCAACTATGAGTGGGTAGTATGGAGTTGAAGAATTTCAGGCTTTGCCGGTTGGTAAGCTTTTGGTTTATAAATCTTGTTTTCATTGTACTATCATGATGGCACACATAATAACCAAACCAAAAAAACCCTGATACACCAAGCAAATAGAAAACACACAAAAACGCTCACCAAAGTCCTATTTACATGGGAATCAACCCGGTAACAATACAAGTCCAAATATGAAATCAAAATCCAGTCCAGTTAGACAAAACGTAGCCTAAATGGGACTTCAGTTCAAAACACGATATGGGGGTCCACCAGTCGGCTTGATCCGATTGATCAGGTGATCAAATTGACTGGTCGCCATGCAATTGCCTTCTTTTCCACTTCTTTCTCCTTCTCCCGTGTGATTGCTCAATTGATCTTCGCTTCCAAATTCATGTTCTCCACTTCAAATTGAGAGCTAGTTTCACAACACAACACGACCCTTTTTTTTATGCATTAGATTAAATAAATCAAATGAGAATCAAAGGTCATAACTAAGAGCAAATGTAACCACCACCACCTTTAGTACCATTTTATCATCACCTAGCCGCTACCACGAGCACTTCACCGCCACGTGTACATTACCATGACCATCAACTTCCACTCCTATCATCATCTTGCCACCACCCCCCATTGTCAACACCATTGTTGTCGTTACCATCCCACAAACACAACTTTAACCACCACCAACACCGCCACCACCGCCACCACCCATCATATGCACTGTCTCCACTATCCACCATCATCATAGCCACCACCACCATCACTTGTCAATTATCACCTCTCATTTATTTATTTGTACATTAAATTCGATTATACTTTTAGGCCTTATTTGGTAACTCGAACTGTACTTATTACTTTTGTTGGATAAGATAAATAGTCGTCGAATAGTACTGAGTAAATTAGTTGGGTGTTTGGTGTTGTTTTTTATTAACTTGTGTATCGAATGATATGTTGAACTTTAATAAAATTTTCAAAAATAATTTCACATAATAATTGTTAAAATGCAAAAAAAGAAGAAAAACAGAAGAAAAAAAGTAAAAATAAAACATCATTACAGAGACAAAACTTTAAAAATTAAAAAGGAAGGTTAAAAACCCAAGTCCCTTCACCATCTTCCCCCCACCCCATCAAATCCCACCCCCCATACGAACCCACTCATCGATTCACCAACCAAAATAAAAATCGCAAAAATTTGGGGATGTAGTCGATTTAGATTTCAGAGAATTTTAATGAACATTTTTTTAGTGATAGATTTCAAAAGATTTTAAGAGACTTTAAAATCTATATGAATTTTGACAGATTTATATAGATTTTTATTATAGATTTCTTTGAATTTTTACAGACTTTCTTGAGGATTTCTTAGGATTTAGACTCTAGCAACATAAGTGAATTTCTGAAACGAGTTGGTACTACATTCTATAAACTTCCAAAGCCACCGACCACTATTTATATTACAAGGCTTATGAATACCAATTCCGTTCTAGCAATTTACACATAGCAATGAAAAACTAATAAATAATAGAAAGCACTCTGGTCAATGGTGTATATGGAGATGAATAACACATGCATCTCTAGCTGTGGGACCACAAGTCAACATCACATAAATAAAAAATTCACATTACTCAAATTGGAAGCACCAAAAGATGCAAAGACGGATAACTTTTCCACTAGCTTTCATCCCAGCATTGGCCAAAAATCTTCACTATCCCTTAACTCTTGCACTGAGAAAACCTTATCTTCCTCTATTTGAAGCAATTTGGAATGGAAACCCTTCAACCCCATCAATGGAATCAAACCCTTTCTTTATCCTCCAGGCCAAAATCTCCACATGCCCATACATTGAGTAAAACACTATGAAAACCCTCAACTTCCTTTGTGCTTGTTTTTCTTGCTGTGGGAGCCCAATATCAATTGGGTTTTGTTCTGGTGTAGTTTGGAATTAATTCTGGTCTAAAACAGGGCCATTGGCTTCGGGTTTGGAAGATCATGATCTGAAATGCCGTTGGTGGCTTGTTCTTGCTTGGCACGCAGCCGCTTCCTCTCAACCCATAAAAATTTAGAAAATGGATGAGCAAACTGCGGTTACAGTGGGTGGGTCTCGGGAGGGATGAGGGGCGGCGAAAGGACGTTAGGGAAATGGGGATTTGGGAAACCTTGTATGTATAGGTGGTGAGATAGTCACCGGATCTCAAGCAGGGCCAAAAAATAGAGGAAGACTGCTGCAGACAGAACTTTTTGGCCTTGAAATGGAATCCCAGGGGTGAAGGTTGGATTCTTCAAGCCATTTTCTATTTATACTTCTCCTTTCAAATCCATCAAAATCCCTCTTTCATTAAAATCTTAACAAATCTTTAGCATTCT